CAAGCTCGAAAATTATTAAATAAATGCCATAATATTTACTGTTACAAAATATCTAAGCAGAAAATCATTTTTTTAAGCGTTTTACAAAACAATTATTTATTTTTATTTGAAAAACCATAAGTAGTGATGAAATTTATATGTATTTATCTTTTAGTAACTTGAAATACCTCATAATCATCTATTTGAAACTCACCATTTGGAATATCAATTTGAGAATAAGTATGTGGGTGTTGACTACTACCCCAAGTATTAATAATACAATAAATATCCCAACCACCACCGAATATTGGACCGTTACTTTGATGACAATATATAGCATTATAAGCATAATTATTTATGATATAACCTACTTCTGCAGTTTGAAGGTTTGTTCTATTTACGAATGAGAATATAAAACTATCATTAGTTGACTTAAAACTATTACTTTGATCCCAATAAAGTGGGTTATATCCTCCCACTATTTGTTCTGAATTTTTAATTTTTGCTATAACTATAGTGGCCCCTTTGTTATCACATTTTTGATGAAACGCTGCAGCTGTATTGCCATCCCTACTGTTACGATAAAGTAAATTAAAACCATAAGGCATCGTTTTATCATTGTAATGTAAATTTTCTTTCTTATCGATCCAACTGGAAAATATGGCAAAGTGATGAGGTTTAATTAAGACTGAATCGTAAACATTTTTTGACTGTCTTGGTGGTTGTATCTCGATATTTATTTTCTTCTCTGGTGCCAAAGAATAAGCAAAGAGGTTAATAAACAAATCCCTCGGTAGTAATTCTTTAAAAGGAAGCACTTTTTCGAGAAAATCTCCTGAAGACATATAATTAAATCTAACTAAAGGAATATATCTATGTAGAGTTCTTTCCATGATTATAGTTTCTTCCTTGCTCCATTTATTGACATCTTTAGGAATGGACGGGTTCTGACCAAATCCCCACTTAATTAAACTATCCCAAATATCAATTTCATCTAAACTCAAATCATCCCGTTTCAAAAGTAATTCCAATAAAGGAGCTTTTATACTGATAAATTTATCAGAATTAAATATCTCTTCGGGGTCTTCACAAATGTTGTCAAGATAAAAATTCCGTAATTTCGTAAAGGACTCATTTTGATAAATTGTTTCAAGAATTTCTATAGGATTTTTTTGTAAAAACTCATGATGGACTTTAATTAAATATTCTTCAATTCCGGGAACTAAAATTTGGAGATTAAGTGTACTTGCTGCTTTTAAGAGCTTTAATAGTTCAGTTCCTTCTAATTTCGTCAAGTCAACATTTCCACAATATATAAATCTGAAATTCAAAGAGAAAATATGTTCTATTAAAATTTATTTTCGCTAGTATTCGTACATATTATTTCATTTATTTACCTTAAAATAATTTTAAAAATTTGTGGAGGAATATTGGGTACTTTTAAAACAAATTTCCCTTCCTTTTTCTCAACGTTTTCCTTGGTTAATTCATCATAAAAATACTGCGACCTGAAACATAAAATATTTGAAAGAGCATGTAGTTCTTTAACGTTTTCATTTTCACCGGCATAAATAATAACATCATATCTTTTGTCATTTTCAAGTAACCTTTCATAATCATTAACAGCTTCCTGCAAATATTCTAAAGTCATTTTTAACTAAGGTTAAATAATTAAAAAAAGAAAAAAAAAAAAAAAAAAATTGAAGAGGAAAATTATATATTAATTTGGAAACTGGTAAATTTCATTTAGCTAAAATAAAACATTGCATAATTTGATGATCTTAGAAATTTCCCATGTAAAATTTTAACAATAAATTAATCTAATTATTTTTACCAATACCAAACGAAACATTTCGATTACCACGGCAATATTTTCTTTACAACTATTTTACCGGATTTTAAAAAATCTGGTTCACAAATACATTCATGAAAGATCAATTCAAATACTTTTCTGTGATATCAGACCACAAACTGGTATGAGCGAAGCAATTGCAATGATTAAGTTTGCCTTGAAACGTTTCCACCAATTTTATTTATTTTATTTATTAAAAAAGAATGAATGAGAAGTCACACGCGAAAGACACGATAAAAAATTATATAAAAGATTCCTAAATTTTAATTAAAAAATCTGTACCGTCAACCAATTTTGTAGTTAAAAGGGATATCCCAAACATTAACGCATTTGGGGTACAACAGATCTAATAACTTTCGATCTTTATTTAAATTTGGACATAGCAGCACACTAAAAGAAATTTTCAAGTCGCTTATTTTTTTTTTTTTTTTTTAAAAAAAAGAAAAATACAGGTTTTCACACCGAAATATAAATTGTTTTTCCTATTTTTGAATTTTCGAGAACCATTATGAATCTGTAAGGATTCAATCGACTTAGCTCCTTCTATTTGCGTGCTTGCGAATAATTAAGATAAAGAAAAAATTCACAAATATCAAAAATTTCCGATTTGCGAGCATTACAATTCAGGACAGTATTTTATGCAAGAAGCTTGACTTTAATAAGACTTTGCACAATCTTTAATTTCTTGTCAAAATAGTATTTTATTTTATCTGCTCTGTCTTCTCTGCAATTTACTTACTTTGAACAATAAGTAAGGTTTTTTAATTGACAATTTTATTTTATTTACATTTTTTTTTGTAAAGAGTTAAATTTATTTATCGGTACATTTTGGTTCATTCAAAATAAACTGAATGAATATTCGATACTATTTAGATTTCAAAAATTTCCGGATGTCCATTTTTCGGCCCAAATGATAGTGAAATTTCAATACAAAATCGGGATAATAATTTTTCATAGGGTAGGCATCCAGTAAAATATGGAATCGAGTCTGGCCAAAGATCGGCTGAAGAGAAAAGTTTTTATTTTGTATATTTATTTAAAAATAAAAAAAAAACTTATAATTCCTCTTTGAAAATCAAGAAACATTCATTTTCAGGACGTGGGATTCGATCCGCGTTCCGGAACGTTCCTCATTGAAAGAAATGCTCCGGATCAATTCTTGAGAACAAAAACAATAATTCAAGCCTGCTCGATCCGGGTTATAGACTCAAATCATTTTTATCATAATATAAAATCATCAATTGTCAACTAGTATAATGTAAAAAACTAGACGCGCGGTTAATTCGCCAAAATTGTGATAAATCTATCCAACCCAAGCTCGAAAATTATTAAATAGCCTATTAATTAAGAGCCAAGTGAATGCCATACATATTTACCATTACTAAAGTATCTAAGCAAAAAAATCATTTTTTTAAGCGTATTACAAAATTTTTTTTTTTTATTTGAAAACCATAACGATAAGTAGTGATGAAATTTATATGTATTTATCTTTTAGTAACTTTAAATACCTCATAATCATCTACTTGAAATTTACCTTTTGGAATATCAATTTGAGAATAAGTATTTGGGTTGTTATCACTTTTCCAAGTATTATCATTATTACAATAAATATCCCAACCACCACCAAATATTGGACCGTGACTTTGATTACAATATATAGCATATTGAGCTCTATTATCTATGATATAACCTACTTTTGCAGTTTTAAGGTTTGTTTTTACGAATGAGAAAATAAAACTATCCTTAGTTGACTTATAAACACCACTTTGATCCCAATAAAGTGGGTTATATCCTCCCACTATTTGTTCTGAATTATTAATTTTTGCTATAACGATAGTAGCCCCTTTGTTATCACATTTTTGATGAAACGCTGCAGCTGTATTACCATCCCTACTGTTACGATAAAGTAAATTAAACTGATAGGGAATCTTTTTTTCATTGTAATGTAAATTTTCTTTCTTATCGATCCAACTGGAAAATATGGCAAAGTGATGAGGTTTAACTAGGATTGAATCATAAACTAATTTTAACTGTCTAGGTGGTTGTATATTCATACTTAATTTCTTGTCTGGTGCCAAAGCATATTCTAAGAGGTTAATAATCAAATCTTTTGGTAATAAGTCTCTAAACGGAAGTACATTTTTAAGAAATTCTTCTGAAGACATATAATGAAATCTAACTAAAGGAATATATCTATGTAGAGTTCTTTCCATGATTATAGTTTCTTCCTTGCTCCATTTATTGACATCTTTAGGAATGGACGGGTTCTGACCAAAACTCCACTTAATTAAACTATCCCAAACTTCAATTTCTTTTAAACTTAAATCATCTCGTTTTAAAAGGAATTCTAATAAAGAAGCTTTTATATTGATAAATTTATCAGAATTAAATATCTCTTTGGGGTTTTCACAAATTTTTTCAAGATAAAAATTCCTTAATTTCGTAAAGGACTCTTGTTGATAAATTGTTTCAAGAATTTCTATAGGATTTTTTTTTTGTAAAAATTCATAATGGTCTTTTATCAAATGCTCTTCAATTCCGAGAACTAAAGATTGGAGATTAAGTGCACTTGCTGCCTTTAAGAGCTCTAATAATCCAGTTCCTTCTAATTTCGTCAAGTCAACCTTTCCGCAATATATAAATCTGAAATTCAAAGAGAAAATAATATGTTATATTAAAATTTATTTTCGCTAGTATTCGTACATATTATTTCATTTATTTACCTTAAAATAATTTTAAAAATTTGTGGAGGAATATCAGGCACTTTTAAAACAAATTTCCCTCCCTTTTTCTCGACATTTTCCTTGGTTAATATATCATAAAAATATTGCGACCTGGAACATAAAATATTTGAAAGGGCATGTAGTTCTTTAACGTTTTCTTTCTCACCAGCATAAATAAGGACATCATATCTTTTGTCATTTTCAAGTAACTTTTCATAATCATTAGCAATTTCTTGTAAATATTCTAAAGACATTTTTCGCAGAAAGTTGAATTGAAAAAAAAAAAATAAAAAAAAGAGTCATTGGGAAGTAAATTTATTAATTTGGAAACTGTTGCATGATGATCTTAGCTATTTATGCATACCGATGAGAACATTTATAAATTATGTTCTTCCAAAATTCGAATTATTAACTAATAAGAAATATTGACAAATAAAGATCATAAATTAATTATAATAATCAGCTATTTTTACGATCGACTTGCCAACACTACTACCGACCAACATATCAGTGAAAGCTTTTCCAGCATTTTCGATTCCCTCGATAACATTTTCTTTACAAATAATTTTATCGGATTTAACCCATTCCAACATATCAGTTTCAAAATCTTTTTCGACTTGACTTCCAATAAAATCCATTGCAAGAAATCCGTGAACACAAATACTTTTGTGAATGATCGAATCCAAATTTTTTACTCCATACTTTTCTTTTTGATTTGTAATATTATATTGTGATATCATCCCACAAACTGGTATACGAGCGAAACGATTGCAATGATTAAGGACTACCTCGAGAGTTTTGCCACTGTTTTTTTTTATTTATTTATTTATTTTTTTTTTTAAAAAAAAAAAAAATTGAGAAATGAGTGAGAAGTCACACGCGAAAACACGCGATAAAATTAAGCTTACCCGACGTTTTCAAAGTAAATATCAATACCGTTTGGACAAAGTTCAGATAAAGTCTACAAAGTTATGAATATTGTTTAAAAAATCTGTAAAGGTTGCAAAAATTCTAACAATTCCTAATCATACCTTATCAAGGTCAACTTTTTTGTAGTTAAAGGCAGCATCGAATTTTAATTCATTCAAAAGGAAATCGACTTTTTCGTCAGATCCAGTAGATCCAACCACCTTCAATCCTTTAATTTTTGCGATTTGACCAACGAGATGTCCGGTGGCTCCAGCCGCACACTAAAAAAATAAATATTCCATTCGGTTTATTTTTTTTAAATAGAAAAGAAAAAAAATAATATTGTTTTACATACTGAAATATAAATTGTCTCTCCTGCTTTTGGTTTTCCGAGAGCCATTAAAGATCCGTAAGGAGTCAATCCACTTAACTGAAGAAGGCTAATTTGATAACTCAATGGAACCTCTTTTAATAATTTTTTATGATAATTAATGTTTTTAAAATGAATATCATTTATCTTTTTAGCATCAGTCTTAATATGAGTGTATTCTTCCCAACCTAAATTAAAAAGAGAGAGAGAGAATTAATATTCAACTTTAAATGAGGTTTACATAACATAAACATTAAAAAAATTCTTATTATTTACCGATTAATCCATAAACAAGATCACCAACTTTAAGGTTTGGATTATTTGATTTTACAACTTCAGAAACACCAATACCACTCAAAACATGACCGATTGCCTGCGATGGCATAACCGGATCAATATGAGATTCTTTCATGGTCAAACGAACGTAAGGATCTAAAGACAAATAAAGATTCCTCAAAATAAAATCATTTTCTCCCAATTTCAAATTTTTAATATCAATTTTATGATGAACTACTTCAAAATGCACGTTGGGATTGGGTAATCCTTCTGGAACAGCCTTGAAAATGATCCCTTTGTTCGATACGGTAGACATGATTTAAATTTAATTGTCAGTAATAGATAAAGAACCTGTAGAGAAGGAAATCACTCGATATTTTTATATTTATATGATCTGAAACCGATCCGAACGAAAATCTAATCGGCTAAATGGATTAAGAAAAAGTGTTTAAGGTGACAATCAACGGATTAATTAATAATTTGGAAAAGCAATAAACTTTTCTATAAAAGGAAAAATATAACACTTCCTATTGATTAAATTTTTATTTTAACAAGTCGAATAAAAATTCTGAATAAGCAAGTACATTAGTGTTTCGGGCGAAACTAGTTTCGCCAAATTGAGCTGCAAAAATCTTTCCAAATTTAGGGTTTCGGAGGTTTCGGATAGTTTCGGATCATAGAAAAATTCTCTGGGCGTTTTATGATTGGTTTCTATTTGTCGATTCAATAAATGAATAATATCTTTAACAAGGATCACCAAGATTTAATAACCGTTTATATCCTAGCCCAAATTGAAGATTTGTAAGCTGCGCCACCCAACCACGATCGCGCTCAATGCTTCCCTTCCCAATTACTATTTTGCAGAATAGACATTGCTTAAGTGCATTGCATGCAAGTCACTTTTTTTTTTTTGATACAATTAAATTTGTGCATCGTAAAAATTTACATATACAATAATAAAGAAGTAAAATAAATAGTAAAGTTAAGTTTTATAATGAGTATACTCTAATTGAAATGAGACAAATAAAAGAGTGATATAATCAGTTCACATTGATGATTTGACAATTCTCGCTATATTCGAATATGGCTTGGTATTCATCAAGTTTCATAATTTTTATAAATAGTTATTCAATGTCCTTTGTATTGATATTTTAGAGCGTAACGATAATGCTTGACCTATAACTCTATTACTTTGTTCAAGCCGTGATCCGCTCCTAATCTTGCTCCTTTTAGAATAGAAAACTCTCGTTTTCAATTATTATGTAGACGTGATGAATTATTTATTTTTTTTTTTTTAAAGTATTTAATAAATTGTAATAAAATATTAATTCATAAATGTTCCGCTTACCTTTACAATGTTGTTTTATTAATCAAGTTGGTTCGAAATGGCACGTCTGTCTCATTTGCATTTTAAAGGCCTTTAACTGAAACATAAGCATGGATCTGTTGTGCAGAAGGAATTGTTATATACAGGCGTAGTCTTGCAAAATTTCATGATATCAAGTATGTTGAATATTACCTTTATGCCATGCTGTAGATTTTGACAAATCTCTACTCTAATAAACTCCGTAGCCAGGATAGACAGATAGAGCAAGGGTTTAATAATATGAACACGTTATCTTTAAGCATGGTTATTTATTTAACTTTTACTTTTCTAGAATAAACTCTTTGGTTTCAAATAAATTTCTGTCACAAGTAATCATTGGTAGTAATCAAAAATAATATTGGTTTTTTTTTTTATTAAAAGAAAAAAAACACGAAACGTAATTGAACCGTATTTTCTAATCCTTCAAGTTTTGTAAAAAAAAAAAAAAAAAAAAAAAAAAAAAATTCAAAAATCATGTACGGTTTGCTGCTATATTAATGATAAATAACTTTTTTCGGTTCACAATATTCCTACACCTTCACAAGAACCTAGTTTTCAACCCTTCGTTGATAGTAATACGTGTTTTGGTGCGTCAATGGTATACTTTTTCTTGTACTGCATATATCGATTTATTCACATACAACATCCTGAAATTTTTACGTTTCACAAAAAAAAAATTTAACGAAAACAAAGAAAAGTTCTCAACAAGCCCTATCGCACGCGACGGCAATAGCAGGATTAATTGTAATATCATTGATCTTGGAGTTACTTTGGTAAATGGGTGGAACTACTTACAATTTGCAAGTTGCATTGGCCTTTTCAGGTTTACTTTGGCTTGAAAATCACGTTCTATTACCTTTGCCGCGTCAGTAAACGTTGGTTTTGTTTACGGAGAGACTTTATAACGATCATCTACCTCCTTTCCTTATCTTGGTGAATGAAATATAAGCGAACAGAATATTTTAATCTATCCATGGGGAGAAGTCTTGTAAAGATAATTTCCTCAACAAGATAATAGTGAACTATAATTTTCGTGGTTCTTTTTGAATAATGGATTTAACACATTGATGGGCTCACGGAGTTACAATAGTTCCAATAACAGCATTTAAAAACCTATTATTGGTGTATTTTAGTAATGCCATATTAAATCTTTTATAGTAAGATCATCAACCAAAAGGTATACGCAAGGTCAAGTCAAAGATAAGTTCAAATCTTATTCATTTTGTAATGAGTTGAGTAACTTTTATAAAATATATATATATATATATATAAATTTATTTCAGATTCATTCGTCTGTTTTAGAAGGACTGTAGTATGATCGTGGGCGACATCACCCAAGTTACCAGTGATCTTCGATATTCCTTGCGTGATACTATGTACCGTTAAGGTAGAAAAAGTAAACGAGAGGCTGATTTTTTGAAGTAAACATAATCCTCATTCAAAACGAAAGGACTGATAAAAAAAAAAAAAAAATGTAACTAACATTAAAGGATAAATATTACAAAATTTACATATGGTTTATTATATTAAGATTGTTCCGATTGTTCTTCTATTTCATCTTTAACAAAATCTTCGGACTCTTTTATGCCAATATCCACCACCAATGTCATAACGATTACGCTAGAAATAGATAACATGACGAATAGAACCCAAAATCCATTCCTGATTTCATGAGTAGCGCTAGTTACGATCCCTGATAACATGGGTCCTAACGTGCTAGATCCCTACAAAAACCATTCGAAGGGAAGAAATGAATAAAAAAAAAAAAAATTCGACTTGGACGAAACGAAAAGAAACAAAAAAAAAAAAAACGCATTCTTTTCTACAAACCTTCGCCGTGATTAGATATAATGAAAAGAATTCACTCTCATGCCCTTTTGGTATCAACCTACTAAACAAACTCTGACTGTACGCTTGGATGCTACCTAAACATAATCCAAAGTAAACAACAAATAACCAAATCTCCCAATTGTGTCTCATACCAAATGGCAAAAAAAATCCCAGTAATGTATACGCGGGTAATAATGTTAACATTATTGAGATGATTATTATCATTGTCTTTGTGGTGAATTTAAATAATTTTTCTATAAAGTAAAAGATATAAATTCCAATCGCTGCACATGATGGCACGATAATGGCGAGTATTATTAATTGAACTTCTGTGAGGTTAAACGTTTTGGAACCAAATAAAGCAGCTAAAGGACCGATTGTATTTATACCGTCGCTCAACAAAAACCAAGAAGTCAAGAATATCGTTAATTGCTTTAATTTTCTTGCTTTTTTCATCGTTTTAAAAATTCTCTTGTAAGGGTACAAAAATTTGTTTACCGTGCTAAAGATGCACAAGATGTTTCAAATGTGAGTAATAAATATAACGATAACGACAAGGAAATAAATTTTGTGGAAACGGTTTACCTTGGTAAAGGGGGTTCCGGATGCTCTTTTAACCATAAGAAAGGGAAGATTAACCAAATCAACCACCATCCACCACCAAAGGACATGGCGATTTGTAAACTATAATCAGATGAATTTAACGCTAGCACGATGCCTAATCCTCCAAATACTACTAATAAACCTGCTACAAATCCTAAACTTGTCGTATTAGCTGATAATTTAGTTGAAATTTTCTCTTCAACTTCTAACAACTTTTCACTGGATGCATTTGATTTCTTTAGCAATAATACTTCTGGATATATACGTGAAAAGATTGGAATGTGCGCCAGGTGAAATACATATGCCGCACCGAAACAACAGTTACTAATATTGGTAAGCAATTCAAATGATTAGGTGACAGTGATTTATAATCAATATATTGGACGAATCATCTGAAACTACTTACGAAACTATGGTTATGATGCCTGCGAACAAATACCATTCTGAACCAAAGAGATACAAATAAATTTAATAAATTGACAAAAGGAACGATACTTGTGAATCTTGAAAAAATAAACGTACCAGGTTTAAACACCAGCGCGTAACAAATCGTAGCAACAGCTCCAACGGTTGAAAAAAATAAAAGAAATTTCTTTCGATTTGCTGAGATATAAAGTAAATTATTATGTTAGCAAATTCAAAAAAAAAAAAAAAAAAAATTATAATTACCCCCATGATCGGCAAGAGAAGTGCAACTGATTAGTAGTAGACTTTGTAATAGTACAGACAATGACACAACATAGAATGAAAAGCTGTCCGTATCAATATATACACCTGCAATTTTTATTACACATTTATGATTTGGTACTAACTATCAAATAGCATTTAGAGTCAATAAATATTTTCTAATGATTGAAATTCGATAAAAGGATAGCTTACAGTATCGCAAGGAGTAACGTGATCAAGTTCATAACCCGATTTGCTTGCAAGTTTTTCGAGTAAGACTGGGGCGAAAACTAAAAAAAAAAAAAAAATCAATTAATAAAATTAATAAAATGTGATTTTAAGATAATTTATAGAATAAAAACTTCATTTACATCCAGCTATCGCAACATCATAAGCTCCGCACTAAAGAACAAAAATTATGTTTAATAAAAAAGCATACAGGAACAATTAATGATATTGGAAAATCACTTACGGCAAAATTATGAAGATACCATCCTTTCAATTCTTTTGATGTTACAGGTTGTTTATCTTCGTTAATGATTGATTCATTATAGGTGGCGATATTCTTCTCGTCTTGCAAAATTTGTAAAGTACTTTCTCTCTCCATTTTTTAAATTTTTTAAAGACATTATTAGTAGGGGAATTCGATCATTTTTAAGTAATTCTCTCAGGATCAATAATTATTTATAAATTTATAAATTCGGTAAGATTGACAATATGAATTCTGAAATAGGAACTAATCAACTTAAACTGTATATCAGTATTGTATTTTAAAATATGCCCAAATTTGGTTTCCTAGTCAATTTTATGTAACGTCAATGAGCTATACTAATATTTGCACACCTAAGATCACATGGTAATACTACCTTTTTCTTTTTTTTTTACGTATTTGATTCCTTTTTTATTTTTTTATTTTTTATTTTTTTTTTAAAAAAAAATAAAAACAATGGATAGTATGAATAGAGAAGATTGGTTATTATGGCAATTCGCGGATTCAGCATTACCTACAGGTGGATTTGTGGCTTCATCAGGATTAGAAGTGGCCATACAAACAGGATACGTTAAAGACTCCGATTCATTATCATTATTCTTATCGTCAAGCATTGAAAATTATGCTTATTCCGCTTTACCTTTTGTAACTGATTCCTGGCAAGTTCTCTTTGAAACATCTAATGAAGATGTAATTTTGGAAAGTATCATAAAGTTGGATCATTTGTATGAAGCATGTACAAGCAATGTTATTACTAAACGTGCTTCAAAAGCCCAAGGGGTTGCCATGTTAACTTTATTTAGTAAATCATTTGGTGAAGAATTTGGTAATGAGGGCAGAAAAGTTGGGGATAAAGTTGTTGATAGATTGAAGTTTGAAGTTAGAAAAGAGAATACATTTGGTCATTTACCTATTACCTTTGGATTGGTTTCCAAGTGTCTTGGAATCAGTTTAGGTAGGTTAAAAATATATTTTCTAGCATTTAATGTTTAAATTTTTTAAATTTTTTTTTTTTATTGATTTGATTTAGAACGCGCTCAACAATTATTCCTCTTTCTTTTCTCTCGGGCTGCTTTGTCTGCTGCCGTCCGCTTAAATATTGTTGGACCTTATTATTCTCAAAGAATGTTAACTAAATGTCAAACTTTCGTTGACACCTCGCTCAAAAAAACATATAATATTAAAGCTGACGATGCCGCACAGACTTCTCCCATTCTTGACATTTTACAGGGTAGACATGATAAATTATATTCTAGATTATTTAATAGTTAAATAATAATAATTAATATATTTGAGATTAAGGTTTTATATAATCAAAAGAACTTTTTATTTCATTATTTTATATACTTTGAAAATTTTCCATGTTCATGTAAGTAATTATTGAAGAAATTATATGGGGACCTATCGGGTTTTGAAGTTTGTTTCTTCTGACCAATCAAAATTTAGCCAATAAAATTACTTTGTATCTTATTTTTTGAATTTTGACAAAAAAATTGATTCAAACAAATGGTTTAATAAAAAAATAAAACAGTCGAGTTTAAAATATTTAAAAATTGGATGAGATATCGTTAAACGTCATGTGTGAGTTTGTTAAGACAATGTTATCTGAAGCATTTGCCCTAAACTTTACAACTTTTCTACTCGTTAATATAAAGGTGCATTTAAATTGGTCACGCTGTTTATAATATTACATGTTTTCTAATACCCGTTAACTCACCATTCCATTGACCAATGTAATTTTCGAATCTATCCAAATTCTTGTATCCGGGTCTTAACAATCTTTTCGATGCTCTCAATTTCGGTTTAATGTAAGGAAAGTATATTATTGAAGTTTGCTCTGGTTTCAAACCAAGCGTCCTTCATCAGTCAAAGTCCTAATTTATCATGAGATATCGCTTGTTGATGAGACGTTTCATCAAATATGTTGAAAAATTCGACCATCTCGATCGAAGATGTATTCCCTCGCATTGTATTACAAAACATTTTTCCAAGTGATATTTGTTCAATGTTATTTTTTCAAATAAATATTCTTTGATATAATTTTACAATTGACTCGAAACTCTCAAATCTCACTTTCAAAAGTTCATTATTCTCATTTATTAAAACACGTGCTTTTAATAATTTATCGATCGTCGTCATGTTTAATTTTTGTGTATCAACCACACCGTTTTTGATTTGCTCCATAATGCATTCCAATTGCATTATACAGTAATTTCCAAAATTATTTTTTTTGCTCGAATATAATTTCTTTTTTTTTCTTTTTCTTTTTCTCTTTTTTACAAGTAAAAAAAAAAAAAAGGAAAAAAAAAAAATGCCTTCAAATATACCAAACGAAATTTATCAAAATATTTTCGGATTTATTGAAGAAACAGATACGAAAACGTTATACTCATGCCTTTTCGTAAATCGAACGTGGTGCATGAATATTATTCCTTTTATTTGGAAAAAACCTTTTAAAATTTCAAAGAATATCGAAAAACTTGTACCCATCTTCTTTTCATTTCTTAATGATGAAACAAAAGAATTTCTTCAAGTACAAAATCAAAATCTTGACATCCCATATACACTTCTATTTGATTACCCCTGTTACATCAAGGAAATGCATTTTGGTAGCATTAATTATTCCATTGAAAAATGGATCGATGAGAATAGAATTATTAGACCCACTTTATGTGATGATTACTTTACAAAAAATGAATCATCTTACAATTATAATTTTATAAGATTTGTTTCAAAAGGTTCTAATCATAAAAAAATAAAAGAACAAGAACGGATGATTTTTTTTGAAATAATTTTTAACATCATAGTCAACAAGTCGGAACGAATCGAAATACTTAAATTATGCGAGCATGGTAATGAATACCAATATAACTCGATTAAGATATTATTTTATCAATCTTTATTATTTTCCACACCTAAAATTGAGAATCGTTTAAAAAACCTTCAAAAATTGATATGCATGGAAAATTGGTTTAGGGAAGAAATATTCATCAAGTTATCAAATATCTCTAACAATATTAAATACATTCATGTTGATATTGATGTGTACAATCCAACATTAAAAGACAAAGAAAGCTTTACTAAATTAATTAAGTCTCAAAATAATTTGGAAAAGATCATTATCTCTTGTTATAATACGCAAAATTATATCGATGAATTTATGAAAGCATTAATTAATCATACTCATTCCTTAAAATCAATTAATCTTGAATTTGGAAAGATTAAAGAAAATAATTCCTTGAGTTTTTTAAAGAATTGTTTTAAACTTGAGGAATTAATCTTAAATAGATTAGAATTAGCTTATGATTATGTTGAATTATTATTTGAAATCATTTTACCTAATCTTAAAAAACTTTACATTCATAACATGTACTTTCATGAACCTGCTTCTAACAAAAATCCTATTTA